TTGATGCTTGTGTAAGGAGCCAGTGTTACTGTTTGTGTCAGGACTCACTGTTGATGCTTGTGTCAGGAGCCAGTGTTACTGTTTGTGTCAGGACTCACTGTTGATGCTTGTGCCAGGAGCCAGTGCTACTGCTTGTGTCAGGACTCACTGTTAATAATAATAATAATAATAATAATAATAATAATAATAATAATAATAATAATAATAATAATAATAATAATATCTTTATTTACTACAAGTACATGTACAAGGTATACAGTCCTAGCTGACAACAATCACATACTACTGTATAGAAACTCCCTTGTTATGCTCCGCATTTCGGGCAAATTAAGTCAGTGTCCCAGGATGCGACCCACACCAGTCGAATAACACCCAGGTACCCATTTTACTGATGGGGAACATAGACAACAGGTGGAAAGAAACACGTCCAATGTTTCTACTCTGGATGGGAATCGAACCCAGGCCCTCGCCGTGTGAAGCGAGAGCGTTAGCCACCAGCGTTAGCCAGGAGCCAGTGTTACTGTTTGTGTCAGGACCCAGTGTTACTGTTTGTATCAGGACTCACTGTTGATGCTTGTATAACAAACTTACTCTAAGCATTGACAAAACCTACTTCATTCAGTTTGGTAACAGAGCTACAGATGTCTCTCTTAACATAATGATAAACGGATCACCTATCACAAAACTCAGAGGGAAAATTCTTAGGAATCCACCTTTATAATAGACTCAAATTTCAAACACACATACAACAAATTTTCAAAAAAATTTCCAAGACCGTAGGCATACTATCGAAGATACGGTACTATGTTCCACAGTCAGCCCTCCTGGCTCTATATCACTCGCTTATTTACCCCTATCTCACCTATGGAATTTGTGCATGGGGCTCAACAACAATAAACCATCCCAGACCATTAATTACCCAACAAAAGGCTGCAGTCAGAATGATAACAAATTCCCACTACAGGCAGAATACTCCACCAATATTCAAAACTCTAAACCTACTCACCATACAAAACATCCATACTTTTTACTGCGCCTACTACATACTACATAGAACACTTAACTCTGATGTTAACCCTCCCCTCAAACATCTTGCCAACCTCAACAGAACACATGACCATAACACAAGACACAGATCACTCTTTGATGTTCCTCGTGTCCATCTCACGCTATGCAAAAACTCAATGCACATAAAAGGCCCTAAAATCTGGAATTCATTACCTGTGAGTATAAAAGAAACACTGTTTATAAATTCAAGTCTCTTCTCAAAAATCACTTACTCACCCACAACTAAACAAATACTGAATAATTGTATCTCATAAATTGTATCTCATAAATGTTTCTCATTATTGTATCTCATAAATGTCTAATCTGTGACCCAATCAAACTTTGTTATTTTTTAATTACATTACCTAACAGAATACTCCATTCTATTGAATGTTCAGCAACACAGTAAATGACCATATGACCTGTCTTTGTAATACTCATTTGTGCTAAATTGTTATCTGTTTACAATAATGTTTTTACCACTGAATATATCATTGCTTAGTTAATCTTAAGTTAAACCAACCATACCCCGGCCGGGATTGAACCCGTGGTCAGAGAGTCTATGGTGTAGAAATATACCTAGTTGGATGAATCTTATTGTGGCTAGCTGGTCTAGTGGCTAACGCGACGGTCTGGAGTTTTGAGACTCTCTGACCGCGGGTTCAATCCCGGGTATGGTTTGTTTGCAATCGTGTCATTACGATTTCGTGAGTCAGTAATCTTAAGTTAATTTTAAGCCTGCCCATAATGCTCTGCATACAAGGGGCTTTGGCATGTTACACTTTAATAACTGTATTCCTTTGTACTTCTCTCTATCATGTTCAAATAAATAAATAAATAAATAAATAAATAAATAAATAAATATAAGGAGCCATTGTTACTGTTTGTGTCAGGACTCACTGTTGATGCTTGTGTCAGGAGCCAGTGCTACTCTTTGTGTCAGGACCCAGTGTTACTGTTTGTGTCAGGAGCCAGTGTTACTGTTTGTGTCAGGACTCACTGTTGATGCTTGTGTCAGGAGCCAGTGCTACTGTTTGTGTCAGGAGCCAGTGTTACTGTTTGTGTCAGGACTCACTGTTGATGCTTGTATCAGGAGCCAGTGTTACTGCTTGTGTCAGGAGCCAGTGTTACTGTTTGTGTCAGGACTCACTGTTGATGCTTGTGTCAGGAGCCAGTGTTACTGCTTGTATCAGGAGCCAGTGTTACTGCTTGTGTCAGGAGCCAGTGTTACTGTTTGTGTCAGGACTCACTGTTGATGCTTGTGTCAGGAGCCAGTGTTACTGTTTGTGTCAGGAGCCAGTGTTACTGTTTGTGTCAGGACTCACTGTTGATGCTTGTATCAGGAGCCAGTGTTACTGCTTGTGTCAGGAGCCAGTGTTACTGTTTGTGTCAGGACTCACTGTTGATGCTTGTGTCAGGAGCCAGTGTTACTCTTTGTGTCAGGACTCACTGTTGATGCTTGTATCAGGAGCCAGTGTTACTGCTTGTGTGTGTAAGGATATGCTTTGTGTATGGATACGCTTTGTGTAAGGATTCGCTGTTATACACAAATAACCCGCGAGTTATTTGTGTATCGTTCCAGTCACGGTATTGTGCCTGTTTTTGTTATATACGCTATTATAGTTAAGTATAAGTGGAGATAGGCTAGGTATGGTTAATTAAGCTGTATTGATAGAACATCAAGTTATGCCAATACTTTTCTGCTCTTCTTCTTCATTAGTAAGGCATTGTGGAGCGTGGATATGTATATATGGTGATGGTGGTGTTTTGGTGTAATTACTTGAGACTTCATCACACTTTCCCTTTCCCGTCAGCCTGGAGGGATGTATCCAGAATCTCAGCGTAGGAGAGAGGAGTTTGAGCATCAGGGACGCTCAGGTCACCCAAGGCATCAAGGCAGAGTGCCAGTGGGCGTACCCGTGCCTCAAGAACCCTTGTGTGGACGGCAGCCGGTGTATTCAGGAAGGCACTGACGGCTTCAAATGTGAATGTGAGCTGGCATTATGTGTACGCCAGAACTTTACCACAGCATACAAGGTCTTCACCAAGACGACGCTGCCCTATGATCTCGAGGTGTGACCACACTACCTCTGTATTTTCTCTGTGCTCTACCTTATAACTCTCTCTTGGTTATCATTTACCACCCCTGGATAATCTTTCCTGCTTGTAATGCACACCATTAAAGTCCTTAATAATTGTATAAACAAAACTTTTCCTTGAAAAAAAACCATACCCCGGCCGGGATTGAACCCGCGGTCAGAGTCTCAAAACTCCAGCCCGTCGCGTTTTGAGACTCTATGACCGCGGGTTCAATCCCGGCCGGGGTATGGTTTGTTTGCAATCGTGTCATTACGATTTCGTGAGTCATTTCCTTGAAAATTGATTAACTTGACAACAAGTGCTACATTACCTTCTTTTTTTTTATTTCTTACGCAACATACATTGAAAATTTGCATTAACAGCTTCGCCATTGTTTATTATCTCGTACGGCAATTCTCTCCCCTTTCCAGTTCAGTATTTTTCTGTGTTTGCCCGAATTTCCTTCTTACATTTTTCTCCATTTTTCTTACGTCCCACCTTCATTATCCGTACTACTCTGATACATTATTCATACTTTCCTCCTCCATTACTTGTACCTCCTTCCTCCATTATTCGGATATCCCTCCTCAATTGTTCCTCCTTCCCTCAGTCATTATTCCTTCTTCGTTATTCCTTCCTCATCTCTACGTCATTCCAACCTTCCTCCTCTATTATTGTTACCTCCCTCCTCCATTGTTTCTCTTCAAGCTTTGCACAAGGATGTGGAGTTGTGTTTGTGACTTGGTGTCCCTGGCCCTGAGCAGGCATATAAAGAGGCGAAGGCTGGTACTGTAATCTCGCTCTGTACCAGACTTCTGCCTAAGTGATTTAGAAGTCCAGATTAATAGATTATGTCTTCGGAAAGTGGCTTGCCCAAAAGACTGTACAGACAAGAAGTTAAACAGAGTTTGGCAGGACATGGATGCTTGGCCATCTTTGAACAGGATTTTTTTTTATTTTATTTTACGTGTGATTTGATTTCTTCCCCCTGTGTGCAAGTGTTCCCGATCTTCTTTGTGTTGCTCGTGGCAGGCAGCTGACTGTGGAACACATCTGAACTTGCCCTCAGCTTAGGCATTTTCACTTACATAATGGTATTAATAATTACTTTGGTGCCTATAGGGATCTCTGGGAGCTTTTAGAGGAGTCGTTCAACATAAACCAATTAGCGAGATAATTAACTTAAAATAGTTATTCTAGCTTGGTGTGTGTTGTATATAATTTTATATTGGTAAGAGTGCTAAGTGATCTGCCAGATCAAACAACTTACAAAATTTCAGAACTACTTATCCCCCTCTGTTGTACTTACTACCCTTCTTTCTTGTTTATATCTATGTCGCTCCTACTACCCTCCTTCTATAGTTTCCATCTCCCTCTTCCATTGCTTCTACCGCCCACCTCCGCTGTTCTACGTTCCTGTTTGTCCCTACGTCCCTCTTTCATTGTTCATGCATATCTTTCCTGTTCTTCCTACCTCCCTCCGTCATTGTTCCTACCTCCCTCCCTCTGTGCTTTCTACCTCTTTCCATTGCTGTTCATGCCACGATAATCCATTGTTCCTTTCTCTCCACCTATATATGGTTCCTTACTCCTCCATAAATACGCTGATCCTCACTCCCTAAATACATTGTTAACAGTGTTTCATTAGCATACTGATCCTCAGTGCTCCATCAGTACACTGTTACATTAATATTTTGTCCCATACTCTTCTGTCAGTTAATTGTTGTTCAGTACTTGTCCCATCTTTAACGTTGTTTGATCATTCTCTACCGATTTTGGTTCTCTTTTAGTGTTTATGATTCTTCAGGTACTGAGTTTGACACCTCTGGAAGTGTCAGAGGGAGGCCAGGCACTCGTTACCTCCCGTAATCTCAACCTGGTACTTGACTACGAGAAGGTGAGTAAGCACCTGGCTATGTGTACTGTGAATATATATACATATATATATATATATATATATATATATATATATATATATATATATATATATATATATATATTGCCGATTAGGTAAAACTTACGATTTTGGCCTAAATATCAATGCTCTTTTTGCCGAATAAGGGAAGCGAAAAATCGTGTATGCAGTAATTTCGCAAATATCATTCTGAACCTAATGAAAATAAATAAATTTCATTGTGTTTGTTTATTATTAAATTATTGTAAACATGTCTAAAATATATTTAGTTGGGTTAGGCTAAATTAAATTGCGCTGGTTATAATAATTTTAGGTAAGTTTTCTAAGGTTCTTTTGGTACAAAATTATTAAGTTTTACATAAACATAAATGAAAAGACTATATCTTTAAACGTATAAGAGAAAATTTTAGAAAGGACATAATTTTAAATTAGTTCTTGCAAACTGACCCGGTTTACCTATTCGGCACAACATATATACACGAGTATGTATTATATTTTAAGACACCGTACTCTAACCTCTGCTCTTACACACTTGTACACTTCACTGTGTCGTCGCCTCTCCACATTCCTCCACGAACACTTCCCCTCACAGCAGTGCTTTACGATCCTCTCGTGTTTAGCGTATTTACCACTATTTATTTCAGTGAAACTGGTAAATTGGATCACATATACGTTGGCCCTTGTGTTCAGAAGACCACACAAGTGATGGAAATTTGAAGCCAATTAGATGAATCATTCTAATGACTCCAAGTTTTTTTTTTTTTTTTACTTTTTTTCAGATCAAATTTTCCTTCATGCAAACGAAACTTAAGAGGCTGTAACCTGGCCATAAGATGCATCTGTAGTTCAATATTAAAGTCGTTTAAAAGAGGTCAACTGAAAATTATGGTGATTTAACGGTAATAACATTTACGTTTTTAACAGACAAAACAGTCAGATTTGTTCCTACATTTTTGAATTTCACTCTTCGCCGTCCATGAATATTTTGCGCATACACAAATAACCCGCACGTAGAAGAGAGGAGCTTACGACGACGTTTCGGTCCGATTTAGACCATTTACAAAGTCACACTAATGAGAAGGAGAGCAGGTTGGGTATATATATCCTGCTCTCCTTCTCGTTAGTGTGACTTTGTAAATGGTCCAAGTCGGACCGAAACGTCGTGGTAAGCTCCTGTCTTCTATGTGCGGGTTATTTGTGTATTGTCCCAGTCACGGTATTGTGCCTTTTTTTTTTTTTTTTTTTGTTATTTTAAATATTTTGCACGTTTTTCTTGAACGTTTGAAGCTTCGACACTGAGGATTATGGAAGTCATCGCAGTCATCCAGGATGCTGGGAATTGGTTCAGTAACTCTGGTAATAGGGAACGTGAACATGCCAATTGTTCCTAGAATTTGGTTTCGGTTTTCGTACAAAACTGTTGAACATCTGAAACCGATTGTATGAGGCGTTTACGATTTATGGGCGAAATAATATCGAAAAGTTGGAGGAAGAAGAAAGAATCGGGCATAATCATGAAGTTATCTCTCTGGGATACTAAAAACTGTCGATATTTTTTACATGTGGTTTACCATCAACTTATATTTCATATAAAAAATATTTAGTTTAATGCGACTATTAATTTTCTGTACAAACATTTTACCTCTGATAAAATGTAAATTCTATGTGCCCATTAATTTTACGAATTTCTAATATACAACTTGGATGAGTGAGACATACTTGCAACAGCAGGTTAACTTTACGAATATCTAATATACAACCTGGATGAGTAAGACATACTTGCAACAGTAGGTTAACTTCACGAATATCTAATATACAACCTGGATGAGTAAGACATACGTGCAACAGTAGGTTAACTTCACGAATATCTAATATACAACCTGGATGAGTAAGACATACGTGCAACAGTAGGTTAACTTTACGAATATCTAATATACAACTTGGATGAGTAAGACATACTTGCAACAGTAGGTTAACTTCACGAATATCTAATATACAACCTGGATGAGTAAGACATACGTGCAACAGTAGGTTAACTTTACGAATATCTAATATACAACCTGGATGAGTAAGACATACTTGCAACAGTAGTTAACTTCACGAATATCTAATATACAACCTGGATGAGTAAGACATACGTGCAACAGTAGGTTAACTTTACGAATATCTAATATACAACCTGGATGAATAAGACATACTTGCAACAGTAGGTTAACTTCACGAATATCTAATATACAACCTCGATGAGTAAGATATACGTGCAACAGTAGGTTAACTTTACGAATATCTAATATACAACCTGGATGAGTAAGACATACTTGCAACAGTAGGTTAACTTCACGAATATCTAATATACAACCTGGATGAGTAAGACATACTTGCAACAGTAGGTTAACTTTACGAATATCTAATATACAACCTGGATGAGTAAGACATACGTGCAACAGTAGGTTAACTTTACGAATATCTAATATACAACCTGGATGAGTAAGACATACGTGCAACAGTAGGTTAACTTTACGAATATCTAATATACAACCTGGATGAATAAGACATACTTGCAACAGTAGGTTAACTTCACGAATATCTAATATACAACCTCGATGAGTAAGATATACGTGCAACAGTAGGTTAACTTTACGAATATCTAATATACAATCTGGATGAGTAAGACATACTTGCAACAGTAGGTTAACTTTACGAATATCTAATATACAACCTGGATGAGTAAGACATACTTGCAACAGTAGGTTAACTTTACGAATATCTAATATACAACCTGGATGAGTAAGACATACGTGCAACAGTAGGTTGAGTTCACGAATATCTAGTATACAACCTGGATGAGTAAGACATACGTGCAACAGTAGGTTGACTTTACGAATATCTAATATACAACCTGGATGAGTAAGACATACTTGCAATAGTAGGTTAACTTTACGAATATCTAATATACAACCTGGATGAGTAAGACATACGTGCAACAGTAGGTTGACTTCACGAATATCTAATATACAACCTGGATGAGTAAGACATACTTGCAATAGTAGGTTAACTTTACGAATATCTAATATACAACCTGGATGAGTAAGACATACTTGCAACAGTAGGTTAACTTTACGAATATCTAATATCGAATGTCGAATATCTATTATACAACCTGGATGAGTAAGACATACTTTCAGCAGTAGGTTAACTTCACGAATATCAAATATACAACCTGGATGAGTAAGACATACGTGCAACAGTAGGTTAACTTTACGAATATCTAATATACAACCTGGATGAGTAAGACATACTTGCAACAGTAGGTTAACTTTACGAATATCTAATATACAACCTGGATGAGTAAGACATACTTGCAACAGTAGGTTAACTTTACGAATATCTAATATACAACCTGGATGAGTAAGACATACTTGCAACAGTAGGTTAACTTTACGAATATCTAATATACAACCTGGATGAGTAAGACATACTTGCAACAGTAGGTTAACTTTACGAATATCTAATATACAACCTGGATGAGTAAGACATACGTGCAACAGTAGGTTGACTTCACGAATATCTAGTATACAACCTGGATGAGTAAGACATACGTGCAACAGTAGGTTGACTTTACGAATATCTAATATACAACCTGGATGAGTAAGACATACTTGCAATAGTAGGTTAACTTTACGAATATCTAATATACAACCTGGATGAGTAAGACATACGTGCAACAGTAGGTTGACTTCACGAATATCTAATATACAACCTGGATGAGTAAGACTTACTTGCAATAGTAGGTTAACTTTACGAATATCTAATATACAACCTGGATGAGTAAGACATACTTGCAACAGTAGGTTAACTTTACGAATATCTAATATACAACCTGGATGAGTAAGACATACTTGCAACAGTAGGTTAACTTTACGAATATCTAATATACAACCTGGATGAGTAAGACATACTTGCAATAGTAGGTTAACTTTACGAATATCTAATATACAACCTGGATGAGTAAGACATACGTGCAACAGTAGGTTAACTTTACGAATATCTAATATACAACCTGGATGAGTAAGACATACTTGCAACAGTAGGTTAACTTTACGAATATCTAATATACAACCTGGATGAGTAAGACATACGTGCAACAGTAGGTTAACTTTACGAATATCTAATATACAACCTGGATGAGTAAGACATACTCAGTAGGTTGACTTTATTGCATCAAACAACAAACATACTTTAGTTGATGTAAGTGGCTTAGAGATCCGACATCTTGAGAGACGCTCTTGTGTAGCATTTGGGAATCTTCATTCAGGAAACATTTTGCCAGTGATTTCTTCAGTCCAGCACAGAGAAGAACCGTGGAAGACGAGGAGTAGTTTCAGGAAATCAGTCGCTCAGATACGAATCGATGTGTTGAGTCAAGCTTCAACTGTTCTTCTCTGCAATAGACTGAAGAATTCACTGCCTGGCGGAACATGTCCTCAGTAAAGAGTGACAAATCTTGCACAAGTGTATGATTCTCCCGAAATACTGTTATTGACCATACCCCCGGCCGGGATTGAACCCGCGGTCATAGAGTCTCTAGAGACTCTATGACCGCGGGTTCAATCCCGGCCGGGGGTATGGTTTATTTGCAATCGTGTCATTACGATTTCTTGAGTACTGTTATTGATTTGTCAAATACTCTTTAACTCCTCGGTATTGCATACTGTTTTCATATACAATCATCTAGTGATTTATACAGGTAATTGCAGTGAAATACATAAGTTGGGTGAAATACATATACATATACATTCATATACATTCACTTCAAACTATTCACATTTACTGTCAGCAATACATAATTATCACCAACCAAATACTTTTGATACCAGCCAAACCCATTGAGCTGTAGTCATACACACTCACTACCAGCCATACATACTCACTACCAGCCATACATACTCACTACCAGCCATACACACTACCAGCCATACACA